CGCCCCGCCCCTGGGACTTGATCCCGCCCCGAAACAACTGCCAGTGCCCGCCACCCACGGATAACAGACAACACATCCGTTGTATAAATCTTTATGTGAGAATGCAGGGAGTGGACCCTGCCCCACCGAGAGCAGAGCCAGGACACGGTGGGGCCCGGGCGGGGTCCATGTGGGGGAGGGAAGCATCAACGCCTCTGGCCCTCCCTTTGGGCCTCCCCAGTCTCCCCTGCACAGGTCTGAGGCTGCCCAGAGCCCACCTCCTAGTTCACTAGTAGGTTCCTGATCTTTTCCAGGCCTGCCCCAAGCTCTCCGTGGTTTTTTGTTTTTTTGTGTTTTTTTTTCCAGAAAAATCTAGTCAGGCCCTTTTTAGGTACCTAACACACAGCTGAGGTTATAAGCTGTAAAGTAAAGCAAGTTCTATTCAGGTAGAAGCTCTGGGGTTATATGAGTTCTGGAACCCAAGAGAGGCCCTCACCCTCCTTGTCCTGACTTAGGAGAGAGTGGTGGGACTTATTGCTGAATTGGGGTATCTTCACTGGGATGGTCAAGTCTATATCATGTTTTTTATTATTATTGGGGTGACACTGGTTAACAAAATTATACAGGTTTCAGGTGCACAATTCTACAACACATCATCTGTATACTGTAAGGTCTATGTCATATTCTTCTTATTCTAGACCCATTTCCCTAAAGACCTCAGCTTTAGAGGGGATCTGAAAGGAATTCTTGCTGAGGTAGCTGTGTTCATGTCCCCCAAACCCAGACACAGGTCCAATTAAGTCATGATTTTGACCCCTTCCCCGTCCTAGCTCCCCCACAATGAGCCATGGATTCCTTCTAAAACTCCTCAGCCCTTCCTCAGATTTATTTCCCTGGGCCCCAGCTGAATTAAACTGCATGTAAAAATAAGGTTAGCATTCTCTAGGAGGAAGAGTATGATTTTTAGAAAATTATCTAAGTAAAACAAGAAGTAGTTATTAATTCATCCAGGACTTAATTCTTTTTGAATAATAGCTGGGTCCTTCCCAGAACTCATTCTTAATAGGTATCACTAGAGAAGTTGGGAGGATGGGTCTAGAACAGCCATGGGCAAACTACGGCCCGCGGGCCAGATCCGGCCCATTTGAAATGAATAAAACTAAAAAAAAAAAAAGACTGTACCCTTTTATGTAATGATGTTTACTTTGAATTTATATTAGTTCACACAAACACTCCATCCATGCTTTTGTCCCGGCCCTCCGGTCCAGTTTAAGAACCCATTGTGGCCCTCGAGTCAAAAAGTTTGCCCACCCCTGGTCTAGAACGTACTCTAGAGCAATAATATGGCTATATAGGCCCCAGTTCCATCCTGGAGGGAAGGGCGGAGAGTCGTGGTCTATATTCTAGAGCTGAGGTTCAGAAGGAAGTATGGCTCCATATGTGTCTAGAACACCATGCTCTAGTATTGGGTATCTCTGGGATAAAAAAAGTTAAACCTGTAGTAATCTGAGACTGGCCCCAATTCAGGCCAAGGCCAAGAGCTGGACAGGGCTCAAATCCAGCCTCTCTCTACTTGGAAACCCGGGGTCTGTCTGGGTTGAGGAAGCCTGGTGGATCCAGCACAGAGCCTTAGTGCAGAAACGGCCCTGGCTGAGGTGCCTGGTGTTGCAGAACCTGTTCAGAACAAGGCAGAAGGTGGAGGAGGGAAAGGATAGTAACCCTGAGCTCCAGTAGATCTATAATCTATGGCTCAGAGGCCATGAAAAGGGCTCCAGGAACTGGCTGAGCCTGGGGAAGGGAGTATCGGAGTCCTGTTCTCTGTTTGGAAACCCCCAGTGCCATCTTAGGAAAAGGCTTTGCGGGGGCGGGGGGGCGGGGGGGATATAAGTGTAGAAGGAAAGAAGTGATCAGCCAGGACATTTTCAGACATCCACCTCGAAGGTCCAAGCATCTAAGGGTTTCAGCAGTTCCTAGGCTCCCTCAGGGTAGAGCACCTGGTGGGACCTGGCTGCTCAGGGCATGAGTATGGCAGCTGGGGTGAGAGCAGGTCCAGGAGCAGGGCTGGGAGACAGGCTGTGGCGGTGGCTAGACCGGTGCAAGTGCAGGAGTGTCCAGTCCAGGGTCTACATTTCAGGGGGCAGGGGGACTGGAAGGAGACGTCTCGGGGACACTGTGGAGAGAAGGCTCCCGGTACATGGCCACTGTGAAGGGGAGAGAGAGGAGCAGAAAGGAGAGTTAGGCACAGAGAGACCTAGGCAGAATCAGAGCTCTGAAAGGGCTCCCTTCCCCTATAGTCATCCTTTGAGAACCCCAACCCCATAGGAGGAGAACTCCCCAAACCCCCAAAGGCCAAAGTCTTCCTGGCTTGGTCCTCCTCACACTTGTAGCCCCTGAGATGCGTGTCACTAAATGTCCATGTCAAGGTCAATACCCTCCCACGTGGCCCCCATTTTCTCCAGTCCATGCTCACCCTCCAGGAGCTTGGGCACAAAGTGGGCAGCTGCCTTGGTCTTCTTGACTCGATTTCCCTTCATGACTCGGCCCTCCTTGTCCAAGCCTAGGTACCAGGCCCGGCCAGAACGGCACTGACGGTAGAGAGCAGAGGCGTACAGGACATAGTAATTCTCAAAGACACACTCCTTAAAGCGACACTCAGCTGTGAAATGTTGCTGAGGAGACAAAGGCCCAGGAAGGCACACACAGACAAAGAGACAAAGAGACACATCACTGGACAGAAGGGAGCCCTGGGAAGAACAAGCCAGAATATAATCCATACATTTCAGGCTGGGAGGGCCAACTTCTGACTCATGTGGGAACTGGGAGGAAGAAAGGACAAGGAAGAGTCTGGTAGGCCCCTGAGGGTGAGGAACTAGACCAGTGGTTCTCTACCTTCCTCACGCTGCGACCCTTTCATACAGTTCCTCAGGTTGTGGTGACCCCCAATTTCATGGTTACAAATTGAACATAATGAAAGCATAGTGATGAATCACAAAAACAGTATGTAATTATATAGGTGTGTTCCGATGGTCTTAGGCGACCCCTGTGAAAGGGTCGTTCGACCCCCAAAGGGGTTGCGACCCACAGGGTGAGAACCGCTGAACTAGACTCTCCACTCTATTCCCAGCCTCTGACCACGCCCTATCCTGAATGACTCTGGGGCAGTGAGTGATAATGAAGCCTGGAAGGGGTAGGAAGAGAAATCGGGGCCCTGAGAGGCCGAGGAGTTGGACAGTTAAGAAGCCTGGGGGTATCTGGAGGGCAGTAAGGACAGGACACCAGCAAGCGCTGGCGTGGGAGGGAGTCCTGGACCGTAAACTAGCTGTAGTTGAGAAAGATGTAGCTGGGGAATCAGCAAACCCCGAGCCACTCCGCCTCGCCGTCTCACCGAGCTGTAGAGCAGCCCCTCAGCATTCATGGCCATGTAGTGACCCAGCTTGGCACTCTGGATGGTAACCACACGGAGCCCCACGGGGATCAGATTAAAGTGGGCTGGGGATGGAGAGAGGGGGTATCAGTACCCCAGGCCTTGCACCCCCATCTGAGCTCCCTCCCTGCCCCCCATCCTAGCTTCACTTCCTCCCTTGGGAGTCAAAGAGGCCGACTGTAAACAGAAACTCAAGCAGGCATGGGATTGCCCTAGTCTCCTAGCCCCACTAGGCCCTTCCCACCCAGGGGCCGGCTTCCCCTCTCACTGAAAGAGCTGGTGTCCTCTGGGGTTCCCTGGATGCTCCCGTCGGGATTTGCCTGGAGGTAGAAACCCTGGCGGCAGAAGAGTTTGGTGACGATGCCTTTAAGTTGAGGCTCTAGAGAAAGACACATTCATCTTTAAAAATGACATCTCTGTTCCCAAAAACATTCCTACACTTGGTGGGATCAGAGGGGGGAAAAGAAGGGAGAGGGGAAAGGAGAAATAGAGTACTAGGGCCCCCGCTTTCCGACCCTCCAGGAAAGCTCTCTCCCCCCTCGCCTGGATTCCTGAGGAGGCTGAGGTGTGGGTCCCTCCTGCTGCCTCTAACCACCGGCTTTCAGTGTCATGTATTGAAATGAATTGAAATGGATTAATTCCTACTCCACAGCTCAACCAGAACGAGGTGGAGGGAGGGAGGAGGAAGGGCAGAGGTACATCAAAAAGCAGAGGGAGACAGGCAGGGCTGCGGAAGTGACATTGTGTTTGCGAATGTGGGGGACCGCAAGGTGACCACAGGGTAGGGGCGCCCCCTCAAGAGTGGGGGTGGGACTGGGCCTGACGCTGACTCAGCACCTGCTGCTGCTGCTGCTCCCTTGGCACGGGCCTCGCCTTGGCCCCGCGCCGGCCAGTCTGACACTGACCCACTGTCTGTACCTGTCAGTCCGCTGGCTCGGGGGCCCAGGCCTCCCCGAGGCTCAGCCTTTCCCCTTCAGCCAGGTAACCCGCCTGGGGTGGGGGGCGCCAAGGACCAAACCTAGGAAACGGGGGGAGGTGGGGAGGCAGCCGAGCTGGGAGCGGGCGGGAGCAGGGCCAGAGGGACTCCCTGCCTGTGGCACCTGGACGGGACCACGCGCGAACCCGCACAACTCTCCACGTCGGTCGCTTGCTGTCGGCCGACTTCCGTGTACCCCCTCGTAGGTGGTACGACCCCCAGCCTCCGAGCGGGTCTCCCGCCGGCCTGATAACCGTGTCTGAGTTCCTCGCAGCAGAGGGTCCCCTGAGCTCGTGGGGCCCGCTTTCGGAGTCTCGTGGAGGGTCATGGGGGGAACCCAGCTCCTCTCCTGAAGCTCAGGTCAAGGGGGGAGGGCGCACAGAGGGGCGGCTTGGCGAGGGAGCTGCAAGGACACCCAGGGGAGAGCTGGGGAGATTGGCGCTGAGCCAGGCCGGCTTGGCCAGGAGGAACCGAGCCAAGAAGTGGAGGAGCGGGAGGAGCAGGGTGGGGGCGGGGCCGCCGGAGCCGCAGAAACTCTCGGGGTGACCCAGGCGTCCGGAGCCCCCAGGCCCCTCGGCTGTGGATGGAAAGAATCGCGAGAGCCTGCACGTAGGCGAAGGGCTGTGGGGGTGGGGGTGGGGGAAGAGCAGGAGCCACAAGGCTTGGGGCGCCAGACTGAGCCCCTCAAGCCTTCCCCTTGCCCTCAAAAGCAAGGAGACTCGGGGTTACGGGCAAAAGAGGAGGGAAACTGAGGCAGGGACTGGCAGAGACTTTGTGGTCCACCCCCTTTCCTCCCTCAGTCGAGCTCCATTCTCCAGAGCCCCTCATCTCGACCTCCCGGGCAGA